AATGTGCTCAACGCCCAGATTAACTAGACAGACCAAAAATGGCGACACTTAACGAAAGACAACTCTAGTCGTTACTCGAGTTTCACGCCCTCGCGATCTTCAAACTCTCTCCCTCCCCCTTCCCCTTCTCTCTTTATCTCTCTCTCTCTATATATATATATATATATAGAGAGAGAGAGAGAGAGAGTGCATTGGATAAATTGTTGCCTAAATTACGCAAAAATAAAAATAACGCTGACATCTTATTTTAACAGATAAATTTACCAAGATTACACAAAAAATATCTTGTAATACTAAAGAGTAAATTTATTCAATAAAATTACCATTGGCTTCAACCAGACAACTTCAGAATCTCCTGAAATTTTTTGAAACAGTCGCCTTGATTAAGTTGGGGATTGCTGCCATAATCCTTGTCTTCAGTTCATCTTTGGTGTTACAAGCAGTTTTGTTGGTCTCTTGCTCAAGTGCGCCCTACACATAATAAAGGCGGTTGCGGTTTGGTGAGTTACGTGGCCAGATGTAAAGGATGATGTGGTCACAGACATTGTCTAACAGTCATGACTGGGCTCTCCTGCTTGTGCAGTATGGTGCAGAGTTCTGCTGCCAGACATAGGCTCTTCTAGTAGCCAACCTCTTGATCTAGGGTTGCACTACCTCCTCAACGCACTTGATGTAGGCTTCAGCGTTGAGTTTAAGGTCCTGTGGAAATATGAATGGAAACATAACGTCGCCATCGCTAGTGATTACTTCGTAATCACCATTAGACTCTTCCAACTCTTTCAGAATCCTTTGCACTGTTCTCAGATTGACACCTAAAAACTATAAAATGTTCGTATTTGAGCTTCCGGCGTAAATGTCAAGCATTACAGTAAGCCGTTTCCAAATTTCTGTGAATTGCATCATGGTACTCTTCTCACAGACGGTGTCCAACTGACCCTACTATACTGTGCAGTCGACAAAATATAAAAACAAACAACGCGCATGCGCGAAATTAAAAATATAAAATGGTAACAATTTACCCATCGCACCCCGTATATTATAAGAAAAAAAACTGAAGCTTAAAATAAGTTAAAAGCTTAAAATATAAAATAGACGGAGAGTTCAATGCTAAAATCGACAGAGCCTAAATATAATGTATTAATATTGTTAATTCAGTAATACCAAAATTATATATATGTGCGTGTTTGTGTGTGTGTGTGTGTGTGTGTGTGTGTGTGTGTGTGTGTAGAAATCTCTGGTCCCTGTTGGTTCTACAGACGTACCAATGTTTATAAAAATGTATGGTTAACTTACACAGAAAAGACCTATATATTAACATAAATGTCATGAACTAAATCCGTAAATTAGGATTATTTTCATATTTTTTTTATAAAGCCGATTCATTTTTTTAAAATTGATCCTGCACACAAGCAGAAATCTGGCTGAATTTTTGATTCAACCAGAAAATATAAAAATCATTTTTTTTTTCAATTAATATATATTTTAGGGACAATTCCATGTTTCGTGGGGGAAAATTGCTTACCTAGTCATAGGTAATTTGAGTAAAACCTTTCCTTTTATAATTATATAAGCGAAAATCTTCACAAATATAGAATAATTTTGTGTTATTACAAGTGTTTGAAACGATGTCCTTGACACTACTGACAGTTCAGACCAATGGAAATTCATGCTGAACGCAATACATTAATTTAGTATTTGGGCGTATTCTCTGTTAATGGCTTCTTTTATTTCATTGAGTACTGCCAATTTTGAAAGATGAACTTATCTTTATGGTGCACCAATAAAAATGTCCATTTCTTCTTCGCCCAGGTTCATCTGCTTTGGGCATTTTTTTTTAAAAATCAAAACAACGGTTAGCTTAATTTCCATGGGAGGGGGGCGTGGAACTGGTGCTGAAATGAAACCTTTCCGACGATCGCATATAAAAAATGCGGCACATATTCGATTTTGAAATCTGTTTCTTGAAACAAAACACCTCGGAGATTGGTGGTAATTCATTAAAACAAAACAGTTTAATAAAAAAGTTATTTTTATACTAGTAGAATTTTTGATAACACGCTGACGTGTGTTCAAATCACAGTATTTAGTATTGTTGATGTTATCGCTAACATTTTCTGACGTGATTTACAAACCCTACGCTTCATTTGCAAACCAATCGATGAAATTTTAATAAATGATTTGTTTGCAAAAATACTCGACAAAAGCACTCTAGTAAAACCAACTGCATTTTGTATCCGTTTAGCTGTTTGCACTTGTCTCCAAAATTTGATATCGATCCTTCAATGTATGGCTATTTTAGATGGTGTGACTAAAAGAAATCACAGAATTTTATATATAGAGAGATTGCTCAGCCAAGAGCTGAAGGCCCCAGAGTCCCAAGGTAGATGGTTACTGGTAGAGGGTTAATGAATGATGTTGTAAGGGCGTAGACGGGGCGGACAAAACGTGCATAACATAGTAATAATTAGGATTGATAACGGTTGACCCTAGACTTTTAGAGGTTAAGATTGTTGTGATCGCGGAAGCATTTTCTCGAGAGTCTCTCCCACAAGTTGACAGTTCTTAATTTAGAAGTAAATCGATTGTATATTATAATTTACAGGTACACTCTAGTTTTATAAGCGCGAATCGCCCAATTCATGATAAAATCAGCCAATTTTACAATGTTATCATTTCTGAAATCACTGTATACGAAAAAGATCTAATCTGTCATAATGTTGTAACCTAGGGAAGGCTACTGAATAGAATAATCACACGAAGGTTGGTAATGAACGATAATACTTAGGACAAGAACAACACATATAAGATTCGCCAGGAGTAGTCAAGAAGTTAGTCAAGGGAATTCCACAATGAATCTCCAACTGCAGGATATCTACCAACCGCCCCACACGGTCAGATATGACACAAAGCCGAATTTAATGTGGGGTATCCGAACCAGTAGACTTGGTCAAAAATTCCCCGTAGACGACCTATTAAACAGGGTTGGGTAGCTTTTTCCTAAGACGAGACTCTGCCATTGACATAGCCTCGTCTGGGAATTCTCTCTGCCCAGAGGCAGAGAGTTTGTCCAGCACAGTTGGAGACGAATCTCCGACTGTAGACCAACATACAGTATTTACTACTGTTTTTATGTGAATGGGGACATACCCATTATCGTCCGTAGGTATGCTACAACACATAATAAAGGATGGATTATACATAGTAATCCATCATTCTTTTCTTTGTTCCTAACGATATTTTCCTGTTTCTCAGCACCTTGCTTAGCTTTGCAATGCTACTTTCGCTAGTCTAATGTGGGTTCGAATCTTGGTGCCACATTCTATCGCCGATTCGTAAATAATTCAGATTTTTCTCTTGCTGATGACCATACTTTCTATCTGCTTGCAGTTGATGGTTAGTCCTTTTTTCTTGCTTTCTTCTAGGAGGTCCTAGTCGGCCATCAACACAGTATCATCTGCGTTTCTTATATTCTTAAGATTAAGCCCACTGATAATGAATCCTGATGGGGTCTCTGGTTCCCTTAGGATAGTGTCGTTGTAGAGGTTGAATAAATATTTCTTTTCCGGGTCGGAGAACCTTTCTGTCAAAGGACAGAAAGGTTCCCATGTCCAGTTCATGGTATTCTCAACATCCTTCTGTAGAACCACATTTTTGTTGTCTCAAATCTCATATTCATCTGTGAGGAGATTTTCCAGCATTCAATGCCATAGAGGAGGACTGGTATTATATAACGGTTTAGCTCTTTTAGTATTTCTAACGAAATTTTCCAGTTCTTAATAATTTGCCGAGTTTTTAAGAAAGCATGCTATTCCAATGCGCTTTCGGACTTTAGTGTTACATTTTCCTTCATCTGTTAAAAGACTCTCCAAATATTTAAATTCCTGTAATTGTTTTGGGATCTCCAATTTGTAGTTTGCATCTTGAACTGTTCCTCTTTCTGATGAACAAATATTCTGCTTTCGTAGAATTGACATTTAGTGTTTTCTTTTTCTACCTTTTGTGGGAATTCCTACAGTTTCCTTTCTGTGTTTAACACTGTCTCATCTGCATATCTTAAGATTGTGACCACCAATAATAAATTCTTATTAGACTTCCAGTTCTCTCAGCATCGCCTTGCCTTAAATGTTGGATATATATCCCGTGAGAAGACACATACTAGTCTTACACCCTTTTTATTTTTGTGTGTTTACTGAATACATTTTCTATCCATATGCAGAGTAGGAATTCTTAATTGCTATTAAATATGTACCATTGCAGAGGAAAATAAAGAGAAGAAAGCAGGGCCATGATAGCCTACTCAGTGTTTTGAACAGTTCCTTCTACTTTAAACATATTAGTAATGCGAGCCATGATGCATTACTCCGGCGGAGGCTTCGTGCTACTTTCTAAAACCATCTTTGCCCTTTAAGTGTCCTTTTCTCAAAGCTTAGCATCGTTGTTGTCATTATTTTAAATTCGTTGCACGTAAAAAGAGAAAAAATTTGCAAAACCGAACTTATTAGTATTTGTTGCTGTATGCAAAACACTACTTGTACAACACAAAGATCTACACAGACATGTCAAAAGTAAATAAACATCACTTCCAATTCTAGCTTTCTATCTCATGAGATGCTAATGTCCTACTGTATATAAGTAATCTGTATTGTTGTTTTTTTTTTAAGAATTAATGGTTTTTCTCTACATAGCAGTGCTTAGAGCAAAAGAGACTGTAGAATTGTCAAATCAGAAGGACTCAGTACCCCGGAAAATTACAGAAATTTCTTAATATGTCTCTTGCTCAGTAAATCGGGTCATCGCTCAGACTGGTGTCTCCGAGCTGTTCAGCAGCCTCTGGAAAGCATTCCAAGAGCGAAGATTTCCGATATATCAGCGGCTATCGATGTGAGACAATGAACAGTTGTTTGGCATCCCCACAGCATTGTCTCTCAGGGGAGGGCTGCTTTATGTCAGCCTTTGTTCACCTCAATCAATAAAAAGGAATGGATTAATAGCACGTTGGCTTACGGCCACATCAAGTTGAAACACCGGTTACCGTACGATCACCGAAGTTAAGCAACGTCGAGTCTGGTCACTACCTAGATAGCTGACCGCTTGAGAATACCGGATGTTGTAAGCTTGGATATGCGGGTGGTGTAAGGATAATGGCTCGGAATTGTTATTTGGAGAGCTGAGTTCCAATTCCCGTTGAGTTCGTTAGATTCACTTACGCATAAATATCATTGAGAAAAGGTATGAATCCACCTCTTCTCACCCCTGATATGTGTTAATTAGTAAGACTTGTGTTGTGGAGGAAATATATACACTCGGTGACTATATGAACTACTCAATAACTATAAAGAGCTCAGGGTTAGAGTTAAGAAAAAAAAGCCGTTTGGAGTCATTCCTCAGACTAATAAATACAGGAGTTACGACAAGTAACTGAATCATTACATATATTATAAGCGCTACTAAGCGTGTTATGACAGTGGCGACGAAAGATTCGAAACTCGATTTATAACCGTTGTGACGAGGATTCAGAACTCTTATGACTTATAACAGTAACGAGTATTCAGGAACTCATACGAGTTGTAACTGGACTTCGGAGGATTTTGGAAACCCATACTGAGTGAACACTACGGAAAAATATACTTGTTGATTCGGGAACAAGAATACAGGTGACGACAAGAATTTTAACCACATTGATTTAAAAAAAATCTTGTGTAGTAAAAAAATGTCTTGTTGAGTAGAAGAAAGAAAAATGTCTCTTGGGTGTAAGAAAAACATATTTGTGCAAATATGGAGAAAATTTTGGCTTTGATAGTTGAAATTCAACAAAAACAGCAACAACAGAAACAGCAACTACAGCAAAATCAACAGTTGATAGAACTACAAAAATAGCAGCAGAAGTTGTTGGACATAGTTATGAAGAAAGCAAAAAATCTTCGACGTCTCTTACGCCGGACACTGTCCAAAAAATCATAGCAGAATTTATATACAATCCTGACGAGGGACTGGCTTTTTCTGCGTATTTTCGTAGATATTAACAAATATTCAGATGGGAATGCAGCGGCTGGGAAGATGAAGTAAAAACGGGATTGTTGAAGAAAATAGCTCCGACAGAGTATGAAAAATACTGCAATTACATTTTACCGAAAAACATGTGAAATCGTGTTTGAAAACATGGTATACATTCTGCGGAAAATCTTTAGTGACAAGAGTTCTCTGTTTAATTCCCATTAGAGGTGCTTGAATCTAAAAAAAAATCGGACGAAGATTTTTCATCTATGCTGGTATCGTCAACAAAGAATATGAATGGTTTAGAATAAACGAAATGGCTCCAGATGTGTTCAAAATATTAATTAAGGTTTAACAGCTACATAAGATGTTGAAATACGAGTGAACATTTTAAGAAAAATTGAACAAAACAATAATATTTCACTGCAATTAATAGTAAAAGGTTGTCAGACAATTTAAGTCTGAAACACGATGCTGGAGAAATTCAGAAAAAAGAATGTGAATTGGTACAAGCAAAAGACAAATGCACAAAATGGGGAATAAATCCTTGTTTCAGATGTGGAAAATAACATTTTAGAAAAGACTGTCCATTTAAAAATGCAGAATGTTACAAGTGTGGTAAACAGGACATATAAAGTCATACTGCCAAACCAAATCAAGAAAAATTCTTACAGGAAGAAATTCATATACACCATTGCGACAGTTAATGTTCACAGAAAACAAAAGGAAATTTGTGAATGTGAAAATAAAAATGCTACTTGACATTGGTAGTGATTCCATAATAAGCATGTAAAAACTAAAACATATGTACTAAAAAATGCTACGAATTCATTCGGTACTAACTGGATGGACCTATTTGAAGTTTGGGATTTGCCGATAAATATTTATTGTAAAAACGAAAGTGGACAAGCGACCAGTTTAAAAAGTCAGAGCTAAAATCTTAAGGAAGAATTGAAAAATGTTTCTTCAATGTTCAATCAAATTAGCTGGGTCGGTGTTCAAAAATTCAAGGCGGGTTTTCAAGTAAAAAAAGGTTCGACTCCAGTATTTAAACCGAAACGGAGCATACCTTTAGCAGGATTCGAATAAGTTAATGAAGAATTGGACAGACACGAAAGAATTGGTGTAATACAAAAAAGTATCCATCCAAAACGGGCATCCCATTTTGAATGGAATTTTTTTTATTACACCAATTCTTTCGAAAAAAAAAAATTGTGTTTGCGTGGATTTTTCGGCAGGATTAAGAAGTCCAGAGGAAGTTTTTTTGATGTTAACCGTCCTAATAATACTTTCAAAGCTGGAACTCTCTGAAATGTATTTACAGATTCAGATTGAAAATGAATGTTCAGCAGTAACAACCAGAGGATTATATAAGTTTAACCAAATTCCTTTTGATATAAAGACGGCACCAGTTCTTTTTCAGCATGCTAATGGATACCATGCTTGCGGGTTGTGATTTCGTAGTGGCGTATCTGGACGACATTTTAATCAAAAGTGTATCAAAAGAACAACATGCTTGGCACGTAAAACAATTTTGGAAAAACTAAGAGTACGGATTCAAGCTCAATGAAGGAAAATGCGAATTGTTTTTGCCGAAAAAGAAATGCCTTAGTCAAATTATTGATAAAAATGGTTGTCAACTAGATCCGTCGAGGACAAGTGCAATTAAAAATATGCCTCCGCCAATAAACGTGATTACCTTACAAGCGTTTCGTGGTCTGGCTAATTACTATCAAATATATGTACATAATATACATATTTTGAGGGATCCACTGAACGATCTACTTAAAAAAAGGAGTAAAGTGGAACTGGAATGATAAATGTTAAAAAGAGTTTGATGAAATAAAAAAAAATGACTTACATCAGATTTATCATTAACACACTACGACCCAAAAGCAGAAATTGTAGTGGCGTCAGATGCTAGTGAGTACGGTATTTGAGCGGTGATTTTACACAGATACGACAGTAAAATGAAAGCCTTCGCTCATGCTTCATGCTTGCTTCTACCAGCAGAGAAAATTACGGCTAGATAGAAAAAGAGGCTCTAGCAATTATATTTGATGTGAAAAAAAAAATTCATAAATTTATTCATGGAAGAAATTTTAGGTTGCAAACAGACCACAGACCTTTATTAACAATATATGGTTTAAAGAAAGATGTACTTATACAACTAATAGACTACGACGCTGGGGTACCATCCTGTTAAACTATGATGAGTATCTACCGTTTAAAAAATTAGGACACTCGGATAGAATGTCTAGATTAATACCTAAAAATATGGAACCACTGGAGGACACGGTCATCGCAGCACAAAAAAGCGAAATGTAAATAATAATAATAATAAAAAACACTTTGTGTAAAAATATATTATTTGGTACGGGAGTTACCAGTAGCCCTAGATGAAATAAAAGAAAAAGCTGAAAATGATCTCTTTATTGCAAAAATAAAAAAGGCAATTGAAAGAAAGTAGCAAAGAACGAAATCCAGACTTAAACACGTAATCGATATGCGATGGTGTAGTAATATACGATCCAAAAGGTGTAATACAGATTGTGTTAAAGAAACGAATATTAAAGGATTTTCATTGCGGCCATTCTGGTATTTCTAGAATGAAATCTCCGATGAGAACTTTCGTATATCGGACCGGAATGGACCAAGATATTGAAAGAATAGTGAAAGCATGTAGAGGTTGTGCTCAGGCAGCAAAACTACCAACTCCAAAGATAGAATCCTGTCCAAAGACAGACACGCCGTGGTCAAGAATGCATAGAGATTTTGCAGGTCTGATCAATGGATCATTCTATCTAGTGGTAGTTGATAGTTTCACAAGATGGCCGGAAATTTATAAGTGCAAAAATCCAAGTGACAGTGAATTTCTTGCATGAACTTTTTGCGAGATATGGCATATCAGATAAACATAGTCTCTGATAACGGAACGCGAATCACAGGTAAAGAATTCGAAAACTTTTGTAAAATGTTCACTATTAAGCATAATACGAACCCACCGTATCACCCAAGTTCGAACGGACCAGCGGAACGGTGTGTGGAAACGTTCAAAAAGAGCGTTGAAGAAAGCAAGTCTTGAGAAAGTAAATGAAGAAGCACTTCAAGATTTTCTGAGAGTTTGTCATGTAACACATAACCCCAATATACCATTGGGAATGTCGCCGGTGGAATTAATGTTTGCTAGAAAAGTAAAATCGGTGTTCGACAAGTTATCACTTAGCTGAAAAACTCGAACGGATTACAAAAACGACATCAAAAGTGTCAATGTCGGCGATAAAGTGTTCTTTAGAGCATATAAGGATGGCAAAGAAACATGGGAAGACAGCATAATAGCAGCAAGAATCAAGAAGTTGATTTACATAATGAAGGGGAAAAAAGATTTGAACCTAAAAGGCACTATAATCAATTGAAAAAAAGATTCATTGATGAAAGTTGAATCTCTGTCTTTGGGCAAAGTGAGACTCAGTTGTGGCTCTGTCTGCGGACAGAGACGCATCTGGGGAAAAATATTGAGTGGTGACCGCTCCCGGGGAACAGTTGCCCGAGGCTGTACTCCCTTCATAGCACAAGAGATGGAGGATAGGTAGCCAACCGATGCCAGATTAAGCAACAGTTGCGGCGGTTTGGCAATTTTTGTCCCTGGCCCGTGTGTACGCGTTCGGGTTCCATACATTAAACCCTATCTTGTGTCACATCTGGTCTCAGTGGGGAAACTGGGTAAATTACTATCTAACGACCTTGTATAAATGAATGACAGAACAAAGAATCGGAATGATAATATAAAGACAAGCATTGCTAGCAGCTATGAAATTTAGGAAGTTGTGGCGAGCCATGATCGCTCACGTCTTAAAAAGTAAATGGCACATGGAGAAGACTACATGCCGGGTGACAATCTATAACTACGAGACTTAATTTGTTTTAAATGGCCATTTGAAAACGAGGTCATTTTAAGCATTCATCACATATGTCGTCGCTTTTCAGGATGTGGGTGATCATACTATATCATCATCTATATCTTCCTGTCCTTTGTAGCGCTCAGCAATTGTTATCTCTTTAGCAGCATTCTTTTTTACGTTCTGTTACTCATTCATAAAAAACTTATCAGGTAGATCAT